CAAAACTACCCTCAGGACATGATGTTTGCTCTCCCAGGGGATGATGCATGATGCACAGGAGCAACATTCTTTGAAGACAGATTTTATTTTTTAAGGAGATATTTGCCAGGACTAAGTAGCCCTCACCAGCCTGTCTTTTAGAGATACAAGGCACCTGTTCAGCTTGCTTTGGTGCTGCTATTTGAAATTTGAGACATCTAGCTGGGGGACAAATTAACCCCTGAAAAAAAAAAAGAAGTGTTCAGTGTTTTGGCAGAAACTGGCTGAAATGGCCACTGCAGCTGACCCAGTGTTAAACTCCAGGGTCAGCAACAGATTTGCTGTCTGTCTCTGCTCTGGCTTCTAACCTTCCACTAAAATTAACCAAGAAAAGAATCCAGCTGGACATTGAGCCTTGCTAGAAACCAGCATCCTGAATACTTTGTTGAACCTGGGTCTAGGTGCTTATTTTGATATCTCTATATACCCTCTAAGTAGCATGTGATTGCATTTTCCCCTGCAGCATATTCCAGCAGTCATCAGCGGCTGCCAGCTCTGCAGAGCCTGACCTTCCTGTGTAGTTGTCTAAAGGCAGGAGTAAAGCACTCGCCGACTTTACAGGTGTTTAAACTGGGTTCCTGCTGCTATACACAACCACTAACTCTGAAAGCTGAAAGAGAAAGCCATTGCTTTTTAGTTTAGTTGAACCATATCTCCAGAACAGCCAGCAGCCTACTTTTGTTAGGCTGTTCTGGCATTCTCGTATCTCTCTCCTTTTAGTGATTTTGCAAATGAATGAACAGGATTTGCACCTGCACATCAAAGAGAAGTCTTTTCAGGCATAATTAGGGTTGGAATGAACTTACACACATGTATTCTAGTAAACCCAACCTGTTACTCTTTAACCCTCGGTCATTGGCATCTAGCAAATATTTACCCAGTTGAAACTACAGTGCAAAGGTTTCTGCTGAGAGAATCAAGGAGAAAATATGTCAACAGGACTGAAATGCAAGTGAAGGGAACAGCTACACACAGTAGCAGTTTGTTTTAAAAAACATTTTGAAAATACTGTACACTACTTGGCAATATTTTCCAAGCCCTTTGCATTACCCAAGCTCTTCCAGTAAATTTCTTCTCTCTTCAGTAAATCTGAAACACTATGTTGGACACACACACACTTGTAGGTCCCTTATAAAGTAGCATCAATGAAACTGCAGCTCCCCAGATGAATATCATATTGCCCATCTACACCTGAACACGTATAAAGCACCAGGAAACATTCATCCCACTAGCAAGCACAGGACTAGGAAACATTACATTGATGCAGAGGACAGGCTACATTAGAAGGAAACATACACTCATTGCAGCCACTTCTTCACCTCCACTTAATATCCAACTGCTAATACCAAAACCAGAGAGGTCTGGAAGCTTTTCACCATCTTCAGGGAAGAGTCAGCAAGCAAAAAATCATTTCAAATGACAACTGCAAATCATCAAGACACTAAGGAAGGACACATGTAGTTGTATACAGTGCCTCTAAGTTTCTTTACAGAAGAGATCAATAAACCCTTTTCTCTCTTGCAGATTGTTTATACTTACAGCCAGTCTGAGCATTATTGTTAACTTATGTACAAGACACCTCCCACATGAGCTGAAGCAGCTCCACTGAAGTTACTGAAGCTTTATTGATTTACATCAGCCTAGGATCCAGCCTGTAACTTTCTAACAGCAAAATGTAAAAAAGTATTTGCTGCCGCAGAAATAGATTACACAGCACTACGATACAATCAAGAACTTACTCATTTAAGCATTAGAGTCTTTAGCGTTTTTCTGTTCTCTCACCCTCAGCCTCTCCCACTCAAAATATTAGTGTTATGTGCATTTAACGTTTCCACTTCTTTGTACATTTGGATAGTACTCACCTCTTCTTTGCCACTGTCTGGCACCCTGCAATAGACATCTCCGGTGGACGGATTATAGGAGTCTATGTAGGAGGAACAAGGAACAAATTTGCCACCTATAAAGTTTTCCAGCACTAAGAGAGCCTTTGAGTGAGCCATTGTTAGCCGCTTGCTTCATCTGTTTTTTTTTTTTTCTACGAGGCATCAATTTAGATTAGTAGGTCTGTATGTATTTGCACAGCAAGTCTGAACTCCTCCCCCTCTCTCTCTATCTTCCCTGCACTGCTCGCTCACTAGTGGGAACAAACCCTGGCAACAACAGCAGAAAAGAGGAAAAGGGGAAAAAATTGCTGTTTCTGTGACACTTTGTTCTTTTCTAGTTGTTGAACCAGGCAGGCAGGATCAGCCTAGTTGTTAGAAGACAGGTCCTCTCTGTCTGTAGCATCATAGAATAGTTTGGGTTGGAAGGGACCTTTAGAGGTCATCTAGTAGAACCCCCCCTGCAAGGAGCAGGGACATCTTCAACTAGATTAGGTTGCTCAGAGCCCCATCCAACCTGACCTTGAATGTTTCTGGGGATGGAGCCTCTACCACCGCTCTGGGCAACCTGTTCCAGTGCTTCGCCACCCTCATTGTAAAAAAATTCTTCTTTATATCTAGTCTAAAAAACCCTCTTTTAGTTTAAAACCATTACCCCTTGTCCTATCGCAACAGGCCCTGCTAAAAAGTTTGTCCCCATCTTTCTTCTAAGCCCTGCTTCAGTACTGAAAGGCTGCAATAAGGTGTCCCCGGAGCCTTCTCTTCTCCAGGCTGAACAACCCCAACTCTCTCAGCCTGGCCTTGAGGAGAGGTGCTTCATCCCTCTGATTGTCTTTGTGGCCCTCCTCTGGACCCACTCCAGCAGGTCCATGTCTTTCCTGTCCAGAGCTGGACGCAGTACTCCAGGTGGGTAAGTACTGAAGAAGGAGCAAAAAAGAGTGGCTTGACAGGGAAATTTCTCCCTACACCAGTTTTTCAAGCTACAGTCTGAAGACATTTTGCAACAGCCATACAAAATAATTCAAGACCCAAACACCTAGCCAGGGACCTGCTCCTTACCATCAGTAGACACAGTGAAAAGACACTTGGACTAGCATGTCTGCAGTTCATGTTCACTGTTTTGTCATCATCAATACTTTTCCTTGTAACCACAAAATGCTTTTGCCAAAACAAAAGAGTTTAAACATAAGAAACTCTCTTTTTTCCACCAATATCCCCAAAAATCAAACAGTACAAGCAGCTGAGTGGCCCTTCAATTCAAAACAGCTGAGAAGCACAACCTGACCTGGTACACTCTGTTGTATGTTGTCAGAAATGCAGATTTTAAAAAATAAGCAAGATACCGGCTTCCATGCTTTCCCTTCCATAGATATTCCTTACTATAGAGAAGCCCATTACATACAATTGGGGTTTTCTTTAACTTCCCAAGAACCCGAACTGCCTGGTAAGAGCCGTGTAAAAGGCATTTTTCTCCAAGAGAGAATGCTTAGATTATCAAATTGCTCTAAGATTGCATGCCACCTCCTTGCACTCCAGAGATAGTCAAAACACTACATCCATATTGGAGAGCAGTATGTTGTCACCAGGAGATTGTGAATATCTCAATCAGCAGTTTAGAAAGTTTTTGCACCCTAGACCACTGCCAAGCCATCAAATTTCTTGTGGACCAACGTGCAAATATATTTTGATCGAATAAAGGCGATACTTTTTTGTTGCACAACAACAGATCATTTATGCATCAACCAACTGGCGCTTCTGGGCAGAGTTCAAATCACTGCTGAAAGGTAGCGCAGTCATGTTGAAACTGGATTAGGTAATACCTCTGGCTCTCCAAAGCTACAAACTGGGAAAGCATGCAGCAGCTTTTCTGTTATCACAGAATACTGAGTCTCAAAATTTAATGCAACCATGTCTGAGAAGGGTTCTCAGAGGTTCATCCCATATCACACTTCCTTGTCCACAAACACCAAGGGATTTACTGAAGTCTTAAGACACTTTCTTCTGCCTGCAGTGCTTCAGTTGTCCCCTGACTTAAAAGCAACGTAAACATGTTCAAGGTTTGAAGGCAAGTTCAAGTGGAACAGGTTCAACACAGGAGCTTGGCAGTACAAATCTCTGGAATCCAACAAGTGCACTGAAACCTTCACGGATGGCATACTGAAACTGGTAAGTACTTAAATGCACTATGAAAAGACGTAACACAGTGGTAATTCATAAGCTTCAGTTTTGGCAATAACAGTTTTCAGGTATTTCAGATTCATAAGATTTTACAAAAGTAATTTCCACATAAAGCATTGCTGATATTTCTACAAATGTGCATGCAGTCAACAGTACAATTTATCTATGTTGTCAAGTTCGGGTATCTGCTGAATTGGGGCTAAAGCATTTAAGTGCAAGAAAAGTTACCTACTAAAAAAAGCATGTGGGAAGAGTAGGTATGGACTGTACATGACTTTGAACTAAATAACAATCATAGGCTTTGTGTGTTCTTCACTACACAGGGCACAGCTTTATTTCAGTTAACCCCTGTGACTGATGCTCTGGAGCGAGTACTTTAGTTCCTTCCCCACACTACCAACAATGGTCAAAGTAGAGTTGTCTCCAGCCCACACGCATGTACAGATCCTGGAATCCCTGAGATCCTCTCACACTTCCTATTGAAAAAAAAAAATCTTCCAAGTTGTAGTAAAGTGTGTCTGTCCTGAGCTTATGCTGGAGGTAGCAGAAGGACCCACCCTCTCTTCAGCTGGGAGGTTTTGCCTGCCCTATTACTGAAGAGCGGGAAGGAGTTACAGGCTTGAGCAAGCACAACAATCTGGCTTTATCATACATCCCAAGATTAAACTGCCAGCTTTTGTTGAAAAGAGCACTAAGTCCGGATGAAAGAGCTGTGTATGCACAGTAGCTGCACTGAGTAACATGGGGAAAACTGAAATTATTTCCACAGACAGACAAGTCACATGCCAGTTTTGCATTTTAACTCATAAGTTTACTCTGAAACTTCTGAGTTATGGAAAGTAAAGAATGATTTAACACAACTTAGGAGTGTTTAAACAACGAAAGATGAAGAGACAAAAATTATGCTCAGACAAAGTTATTTTATTATTCTTACAGTTTAAAAAATAAAATTAGCCAATGTTGGCACAGCTTCCACTACACAGCAAAAGAAAACTTGTTTTTTTAAATAAATTTTGGGACAGGGAAAACAATCCCGGGATAATACTACATGCCATTCTCTTGAAACCAAAGTAAATAGTTCTTTTTTTCCCCTGAATATGCATTCAACTCAAACCTAAAAATATATTAGATCAATAAAGTTACCTTACTGAACTAATGTGCAGCAAAAAAGCAAATCAAAGAAAATATGTAAACACTTTATGTCTGGAAGTAAGGAGTTTGTTTCATGATGATTCGTCATCTTTTTGTCTAATTCAACTTTCTAAGATTTTTCCATCAAGCTCTCTAAGGGCTAAATTCCACATGGAGAAACACATGAGATTCTTGAGATCGAGAAGTGCAACATTAGCAGTTCCTTGTCAGTTGGCATCTTGTTCTGCAGTGGGAGAGGCTGATGAAGGGCTCCCCAGACGTTTCACGTGATTTAACTTTTGTCATCGTCTCCCCAATTAATTGCACTTGTTCCTTCAACTGCAGTAACTGGATTCTTAAACAGAAGTTTGGAAATCTGATTGCATTTTGGTTGGATGGCGAAGTTCTGGCACCACTGTCATTCTTTAATCTAAAAACACAAGCCAATGGAAAAAACCCTATGGTGAAAAATGAAGTACTAAATGTAAAACAATCACAGCTTTTTTTCAACATGATACAGGCAGCTGTGGAAAAAATAATTCCTTTTGCTCTGAAATTCTCTGGAACAATATCATAAGTACTAAAATAGTAATCCCCAAATAACAGTCAAAGAGTTACTTAGTTCCCAATTCAACAAACATCAGGCATCATAGAACTAAATAGCACCCCGTTCGCTTCAAGTTAAACGTAATGAAAACTGGGTACAATATTAAAACCCTAATTCTGGACCCTATTTAAGACCAGAAAGATTGTTAAGAGCATTAAAGCTCCATAAGGCCCAGAGCCTGACAGACCTATCACATCATTCCTACACACACAGGGAGAAGCCAGAAATTCTCACGGTCTACTTCCAAGTTTTGACGTTAAATGACTCAGCTTTAAGTCTTAGTACCAGAACTTCGTTAACGTGACTAAATTGCTCTCCCTCAGGCCTAGAATTAGAACTTAAATTCTAATCCAAAAATCATAGCAAGATTTTTTAAAGCAACAGATAGAGGGACATTCATACTTTTTGCTCCTCACAGAAGGCAAAACATTTATATTTAGCCCCACAGCCTTTGCTTCCTCTCACACAGGATCAGAAAATATCTGTAGGTATCGGTAAGAATCAAATCTACAATTGTCTTTAATGTTAACAGAAAAAGATCTGGGACTCAAACTAGCCACAGTAAAAATGGCCAACACTTCTTAATTACAAACTACTTTTGGTATATTTATACAGGCAATCAGATTTCAGAAAGACTGATGTATGTTAAAATAGTGAAGGGTTATTTTTTAACTCGAGAGAGGGGGGAAAAAATGCACAACATTCAAAAATCCTAAATAGAGTAATTCTGCCTCCTAATAAATTGAACAGAACCATGGCAAGTTTTCCTCACATCTTGATGAAGCACTGTCTCTTCTTCAGCAGAATAAACTCACTTTTTAGGCCGAAGGGTGTAAAACAAGTCTTAACCATAAAAACTAAATGCTATGTGAAAGTTAATGCCGTTCCTTTACAGTATAGAAAGTCTGTTACAAAAATGCCATACCTCTGTGACAACTCCCGCTGCAATAGTGGAACCACTGTAGCGTAACATAAACCTCCCAAGCTCTTTAAAATCTTTATACAACTCTAGAGCAACAGGTCTTTGAGTTTGTAGTTCTATTAGAGCATTCTGTCCTTTAGTCAAGCACCTGCAAGTAAATAAGCAGAAAACTCTATTATAAATACTTGCATGCATAAATGAAAAAGAGAACAGTGAATAAATGGAAAAAAAAAAATCCACTTAAAAAGCCAAAACTATAATGATCAAGCTTGATTTCAAGTATAACCCAAACTACCAGACTGAAAACTCATTTGCCTGGAGCATACCTTTTAGAAAGGCATCTGCGTTTTCTTTAAAAACTTCTAGAGAAGGGCATCCACCACAACATTTAGCAAATTGTTTTGAAGTTAATTATCTCATTAATGCCTGTTTTTTCATGTCTGGTAGAAATCAAGTCTTGTTTCAAACCCAGCGACTGAAGAGCCAATTCATTGCTCTGTAGAAGTCATGATTCTTCTTCCCATTACCTTTCAGCAACAATTTAAGCCATGCAATTTCTGGAAAAGGATTATTCTGATAAATGTTGTACGTATCAAATAGCACTTCTACCCAAATACAGCTTTAAATAATTGGAGGGATATTCCCATAGTTTAACTTGTATGAGAAGACTCCCTAAATCTCTTTTTCTCTGACCCACTGTCTAGTTGGGTTTACTTTAGACAGCAACCTACTTCCAGAATTATACCAAGGATCCCATGCTATTACAGGAAGAAAAGAGAGAATTTAAAAAAAAACAACAAATCCTTTAAGTGTAGGGCTGGTGATCTAGGATTCAATCCCAATTCTGCAAGTGACCTCAGGCAAGTCATTTTACTTCTCAGGTGCTCAGCATTTATCAAGTGGGCAGGAGGCTTTTCACTTTGTAAAGCACTCTGCAATCTAATCATGAAACCAACCAAAACAATGAAAGCATATTCTTATAAACACATTGCTTCATAATAGAACCTGCTTGATACACTGTATATTAATCAAAAGTCAGCCCACTTCTTGAGTAACTATTAACTATTCAAAACACTTACTTAGGTTTTTTCTTTGTCACTTCACCAGTGCTTTTGTGCAGGACACTCAAAAGTCTTCTAATAGTAGCAGGTTCACTTACGGTTTGATAGTGTAAAAGCACCTAAAAATATTTTTTTCAGTTATTAAACATTCTACAATAATCAGAAATCCTAGGTGTTACTACTTCAAAACATCGACTTCTTTTAAGGCTGATTTTTTAAATAAATGCTTATAAAAGTTCTCTCACAGGAGTCTCTGCCTCACATTCAGTAGCTGTTCCTAGTTCCTAAACTTTGTGATCTCAACAGATATGACACAAAGGTCATGTATTAATTCATCATAAATACCTTTTTCATTGTTAAGTGTTTTGCTTTTGCCACTTCAGTGCAGTTCTGTAGCACAAACTGATATTTTATTTATTTTAAAAGGTATCTTACAACTAAGTGCATCATTATACTCCTACAAGGCGGGAGCTTTCTAAAGGACAGCCTAGCCTGACTGTGGTGGAACTCATGTTCTCTGAAATGGCTCAGCTATGTATTAAAGGCCAGTAAGAATATGCATAAGCAGCCACAATAGCCCCTTATATCCTCTTCAAATTACAGAACAAGCCGTTTCCTCTGGAGAGACAGAACCACTTCTGGACACTAAATGCCTCTCATATTCAGGGGGTCGAACATGAAGAGGAAAAGCCATGAGCAACCTGTAATAAACACAGGAACTTTCACACAGACTTACAGGAAATCCTTTAGTGATTGGAACCTCAATATTGAAGATGAGAACCCGAGCTCTGAAACGAGTGCAAACTTTAATGGGTTCCTTGGGATCACAAAATACACAGCCGACACTACAAGAGAGGAGAACAAAAGAAACTGATACATATCTTGACATACAAGTGTTAATCACTGCACTGGAAAAAGATAAATATTTAAGACAAGCAAAGCAAAGACAACACCACTTTAATATAAACTGGGGGGGGTGGGGGCATGGAAATCAGGAACACCATATTAAAGCCTGTAACGAAATTAATTCTTAGACATTGTCTACAGTATTTTGTGGGTATGCATGAAGAGGTCTGTCTAGTTCAGTGAACAATTACGTCCATTGCTAATCAGTTTCTAAAAATGTCACTGTTTCCTGTGCGTAGGTACTTTGAAGAATTATACTTCCATTCAGAGATTAATTGTTCCAGATCAATAGCGTAAAATACTGCAGGGTGCCCAAAATTGCAGTGCTGCTGCCTGTAACTCAACTGTTTTGTGGATAAAGGAACACCATGATAAGGACTCTCAAAACTTAAGCTCTCAGCAGCACTCATTTCCAAAGAAGTCTACATGGAGTCACAAGAAAGGTGCTGCTCATTACAAGTCAATAAGGTAGACTAGACACAGCTTTTTCATAGTGGCTAGTTTTAGCCATCTAAAATGAAAGGAAAATTAATCCCACCCAGAAAAACATGACTGAAGAGAACAAACAGCATGATGAAACGTATACATCAGATGTAATCAAATTTCATCAATACCAAGAGGACTTGATACTTTGTACCTTTTCTTGACAAATCTAACATATTCCCAAAAGATGAATGACATCAAGGTAATGAATTGACTCAAGCCTTCATTCAACAAGTAGAACAAGACATTCCCCCCCCCACCCCATTTACCACAGAGAATCACACCCCATTATGAAATGGCAACACAGAAAAGCCTGCACTCTTCCCTTAAAAGCAGAGCATAAATTTGCAAAACTATCAATGCAAGGAGTTTTTCAAACAGTAGCTTGAAAGTTTGCTGTCTGAAGTCCAACTGTAATGTAAAAAAGCTGAACAAATTACAGATCCAATTTTCTAACTGACACTTACCTAAAAGCTTGAGGCTAACACTTAGCACGAAACCTATAGACTGAAATAGACACAAGGAGATTTGCTGTGTCTCACTGAATATATCAGACCCCCCAAAAAAGGGTCAGCAAAACATTTACCAAAACAAATGTTACAAGCAGCTAAATGTGTTGAATAAACAGTTTCCATCAATTCCTCTTGTCCAGATTTACTTATTGGTATGCAATGGCAGTTGTTTGGATGTGTTCTGTTAGAATGATTTATGATTCCATAAGCTCTTAAAAAAAAAATCTTCTCTTTTACTTAGCAATAAGGATTTACCTAATTCAGCAATTAAAATGTCCAAGGACAAGTCTTAAGGAAAAAGGCTTTGAAGGCTACCAGTGTCAGCACTAGGGCAAAGTATGAAAGCTAACAGTATTCTTCTGAGGTTGCCGTTGTACATGTAGCAGATGTTTCCAACGTTTGTACATGCAAGCCAGGTGATATGCATCACTTTGGTTTTAAATATCCTGGTAGCCACATCATTCTTCAAGTAAACCGCTGATTGTTAAGTGTAATAGTTATAAAGCTTTTCATTAAAAACAAACCGTTACTTAGACTGAAACCCAGTTTTGCTCACTTGATTTTGATGATATCCATGCCGGTCAAAGTGAGACTAACTTGATCTCCTGCTGCAGCCCAATCAACTGGTTCATCGTGCAGTGTGATTCCTGGAAATGAGTAAGAACAGAACCTCACAGTGAAGTACCTAGGTTCTGAGCTACAAACAAACAGCTCTGTTTGGGCCATTTGTGCTTCATCAACCATTACTCATCAATTTTCAGTATGAATGGGTTGAGAGTAAAAGCTTTTTAACTGAGAAACTGAGGAAGCTTTTTTTTCCTCCCCTTGGTGAGGACTCACTATTCTCTCACCCCACCCTGCACAATAACATGGCTTTATTTAAGCCAGAGGAGGGGACCTGGCACTTGTCACACAGCGCAGATGACGCAGTCCTGAAAATGCCGTAGTACTAATATCTCCGTATCTGCCCCACCCATCCTTTGAGGCACACGCACACCCTAGACCGCATCTTTCATGTACTTTAATGGTACTATGTCAACTTTCATTTACCTTAAGTGGGTTTGCTGACTCTTTCATAAAAAAGCGTAACTGATGCCTTTCGTTCACGACATCGCATCTATTAGAAAGCATCTTTTAAAGTAATTTTATCCTGATTTCAATGTATTTTACTTCCTTTAAAAGATAACCTGGCTGGTGGATGAGAACAAACCTAATTGCTCCTGACTTAACACTCTGAGGGTTCTGGTAGACACCAAGAAGGAAAGAAAAACAACCCACTTTTTAGAATTATTGCATACATTTATAGGATCTAGTTCTATTTTGTTACAGATTGTATTGATTTGCAAATCTGTTCCCAAAACCACTTGTCAAAGTTAAACTCAGCCTCTTGAAATGAAAAACTGGAATCCTAATGTGCACACTACCTTTAGTAAATATTGTATGATAAATTAAATTATCTCTTCTTTACATTAAATATAAATAATACATGCTTAATGAACTAATACCCCCAACTTCCATCTGCATTTCAGCCATATGAGAGGCAGCACAAAAGAAAAATCATAGAATTGTACCGTTGGGGGGGATACTCAGACAAAATACATCTTTTTCCATGCCGTTTCCTCCACTCCCAAAACAGAGGAGTAACTACAGTGGTGTGATACTCATATTCATCCATGTTGTTGTAACGTTCCTGTGCATGCAAACAATGTGCATACAACCATATAAAAAGGCACACTGAAAAGCTTCCCAAATTAGCACTGAACAAGCTGGTTCTGGAACAGAACAGGACAGTTGAACCAGCACATTGCTGAATTCAGGCTAAACAGATACAGAAACCTATTCATTTATTTTGAAGGCTTAATTTTTTATTCATTGGTGAACATAGGAAAATCATAATTTTATCTTTCTGTTTGCATATAAAACAAAACCAACTCTGCAATACAAAGACAGCAAGCTTAATCAGGAAACAGCTAAACATTTAATGTCTTGACTTAGCTATTCCTCTTTTCAGAAATCCAATGTATTGAAATTTAAATCCAATTTTCTTCTATTTTGTAGTTGCTCAGGACAATTATATCCTGAAAGTTTGCATATTATGAAAGGATCAGTGACAAATCTCATGAACATCAAATAGCAGAGACTTAATCCTCAAGCTTTTTCACATCTAATTCATAAGATTAATCTCTAAAGGTTATTCAATGTCCTCACACTTCCTAACAGCAGTAACACTCCACAGCAAAGATGAATATTAATGATTCCTGTACTGCCTATTTTTATAGACTTGCTGGAACTCAGATATTTTTACAGGTTCTTCATAAAGCAATGTCAAAAGTCATGAGGCTATAACATTTGGAATATCTGCTATGGTAAAAGAAGGTAAAAAAAAAAAAAGCAAGATTTCACATACTCTTCATAGACATATTTATACAGACACAGTCACATCTAAAGAAATTCGTTTTATGCTTTCACATTTTATGTTTGACAGTTAGTATCAGTTTGACAGTCTGTTACCATTTCAGTAACTGCTTCTAGCCCAGTATTGACCTGAAAGTAAACATGCTTCTGAAGACTGTACCTTTTGCAGTGCAAGTTTCATTGGGAGGCATTGCCAGAAGTCGTTCTCCAACTTGAATATAGCCTGCTTCTATTTTACCAGTCACACAAAATCCTGATCCTTGGTCTGTAATAAACACAGTAATAATTTCAAAAAACTTCATAATAAGATCAATTTCCCATCACAAGCTAGTCCTTCAGCAATGCATATGTAATTTTTTAATATAATGAAGATGGGGGTTTTTTCCCCCCCCAGTAGAGTGTTCAGTACTTGCAAGTTAGCCAGCTGTGTATCATAATGAAAATGAAACATTAAATTCAAAACCTCTAGATCTTATATTTTTCAGAACTAAGGGAGAAATATCCTTCTTTAACCAAATGTAGGTACATGAAGAAATATTTTTTAGTTTTTCAATATTAGATTAGGCCCCTTAATTTCTAGCAATTTTATTTAATTCAGCACTTTCTCACTACAATTACAGATAAAAAAACATACCACAGACCGCTCATAAAAATTCTCATGCATACAGGTGCAAATTCCTATGCCATTTACTGTTTAACTTAGTCAGAATCCTACATGCTCTGTCTGCATTTTACTTTTACTCCTGGGAAGTCAAAGATTAATTCAGTCCTATTTAATATGAGGAGCTATTTTAATTGTGGACAACTTAAGTATTTCTGAATAAAAGATCTGCAAAGTTTTTCTTCTTTAATGTCCTAATACATTATTTGAATATGTCAGTTATTTTCAATAGATGTGCAACATGTGCACATTCATGCACATACACTTTAAGAAATGCCTCATCTCCTTAGTATGTGTTTGCAGGTGTGTTTAAAAAGAATCCTCTAAAGTGATTCTACAATGACATTTTCAGTATCCATACAAACAACAAATATACCTTTTGCTGAACATTAGAATTCAGTGATAAGAAAGCATCTTAGTAATTTGTGTGTCACATTAGATTAAAAGCTTAATTTAAAGCTGAATTCAAAAGAGCAAGTTGACCTCAAATCTTGAGGTCACATACTACCAACTTGCTCTTTTGCGTTCATTGCCATTATTGATGAATGCTTCCATCTATCTAGCTGGAAAAATATTACCAGTATGCCTGCAGGCTAATTTTCCTCTATTCATTCCAGCAAATGAGATGAACGCAGTCAATTAACAGATGACATTGGATGTCAAAAGAACAGAAATCTGGAGAAGCAGATACTTGCTAGAAAAAGAATCCCGAAGTCATGGTACAAATAGCACCCCAACGTGGTACACAAAAGAACCTAAAGCTGGCTCTGCAAGCGCTTGCAGGCAACCAGAAGCATGAACTGATTCCAGGCTCCCAATCACTCCCAAGCACAATCAAGAACCGTTTCACTTTTTTTTCACATCATCATCAGCTCTGGCTTGGTAAACCAGTGTGGTGTTTGAAGCTTCGCCCTCTCCCATGCTGCTTCCTGCAAAGCATCAAGTTCCTTCAGCTTCCCATTAAATCAATGGAAGTACAAAATGGACAGTGGAGGACAGAATCAGGGCATAAAAAATGGCCTGATTTCTGTGTATCATGGTACCGGGGTTCTGCCGGGACATGTTCTTTGTCCTCAGGATTTGTCTGCTGGACAAGGCTTTTCTCAAGTCAGGTCAAGTCATACCATATTATAATGCTGTCTAGGGTAAGTGGGGACTGATGCAGTGGTGACTGAATTTACAGGGACCTCTTGGATCAGGAGATAGTTTGCTTGGAGAGAATATTAGGAAGGCTATGGAGGACAACAGCTAAAATCAGGCTGAGGTAGATGAATCATATGTGTGGGTAACCTTAATAAAAAAAGGGGGTTTCCAAACTACGTAAGAGTACACTCAGCACTCTCACTTTTTTACACACTTCTATGGACAGCTCTTCCTGAGCATGCACAGGCACTGGAACAGAGCTGAGAAGAACTGTTGCTTCATGTACTTGTACCTGCAGCTACTTCCTCTGGTGGCATCCAAGTTAATTAAGTTTTGAGATCACAAGGTAAGAAAAAAAATAGCCCAAAAAACACCTAAAAGGCCACATTTAGTGATAAACCTAGTATATGTAAATTGAGTCCCTTCCAAAGCCATTATTTTTTTGCATACTTTAGCAAAAAATCAGACTTTGACAGAACAGATTTAGTCAAAATTGCTCATTTTGTGAAACTTATCAAAATGATTATTGCAACAAAAAAGTAGTGATAATATTTTGAAAGATCTCAATCAACAATCCTAACACACTTTCCCACAGCTCATACAATTAAAAAAAAAAAAATATACAGTGATGGCTAGATGAGGAAACTAGTGGTAACACACTAGGGTAAATTCTCATGCAAGGTTTCAATATTTAACATTATGGCTTCACTACCTTAAGTGAGCTAACCCAGGGCATGTACAGCATCTAGTGTTTTCTCAAAGACCCACATGAAAATTCCACAAAACTTATTTTTCCAATTACAATCAGTATTTTGATCTAGTTTGTACTTCCCCTATAAACACCCTATATATAAAGTACAATTTATTTTAAAAGATGAATTTCAATAATAATATTTGATTACAAATATTTACAACATTTCAAATCATGCTGCCATTTAGTTTGCAACATTTCTCAAGGGACCTACAGGACGTTTCAAATGGGATGAGTGTTACAAACCTTATTTCTTCCAAATTACATGCAAATGCAATTGCATTTAACTGAAAAAAATAATCAAGTTTGCCATGAAAACCTTAAGGGCTCAAGGCAGTCTATTTTCTCCAGACAATGGGAATAAGAACTGGTTATAGTTACTTGCTGTCCATATCTCTATTAGCACTAGGGAAGAGCTAGCTGCCTTTCATAAAATCCCTGGCTGGTTTTAACACCCTTTTCTTCCACCTCACCCCCCAAATTTTCATACAAAAAATGAAGGAATTTACAGCTACAACAAAGAAGATAAAAGGAACAAGTCAAACTTTTTTAAAATCTAGGAGTGGAAGGTAAGAGAGCCCAAAGTCACACTCGTAAAAAGTTTGAGAAACATTCATTTAGGCAACAAGAACCAGTTTGGGAAAGAGAAACTCCCAAATTCTGTCTCACAGAACCAACAACTCATTACATAGCCAATTAGCTGGTCATGCAGATTTTCTTCCTCAATTTGCTTTCCAGTGTGTTTCTCCTTCAGCGGTACTATCTAAAATTCAACAAAGAACAGTGCTTGAAAACTTACTATTCCTGTTCAAGACTAATACACATAAAGCTCCTACTTTAAGTCTTATTTTTACATCATTTTTCAACACTTATGTTAAATATCAGTGAAATGTTGGTGAAAATATTATAAAAACAACCAACCTTTAAAAACATCAGCAACACACAACCTAAATGGTTTATCCACTGATCTCTGTGGTGGCTTGAAAGAATCTGCAAACAAATTGATAAGACCTTTTAGAATTTCTGTTTTCAATAATTATCTCAACAACTTCTCACTTAGGGATAAATCAACTATATTGCATTCCAAGGACTTTGCCCCACATTTCCCACAAAAATAAAAGTTTTGACATACACATGACTAAGATATATCCGTTTTAAAATGAGGAAAATTGCACTCACCAATTTGCTCTAACAAACACTTTCCTTTATACCACTGTGTGAGGTCACCTGACTGACCCCTTGTGACCAGATTTTCACCACCAAGGCCACTTGTTGGGATATAAGCCACATCTGATTCCTAATTAAGAAAACAAACAGAAGTTAAGCATACATTAACAACAGGATCTTCAGCAGAAGCAAGAGGTGTATTTTTTTCAATATTAGGCATCTAAGCTATAAAAGAACAGTTGGTACATTTGTATTTTCCCTGGAGAAGGCAGATTAGTTGGCGGATCCATTTCCTTTCTGTTTACCTCTTGCCTGATCACTGTGCTCCAACAAAGAGTTGGAGCTATTTAAACATGATGATAAACATTAACAACTAGAAACCGAGTTCAGGTGACAAACTCCAATTCTGTATCCGAATGGCAAAACTTTGGTTTGAATTGCTGGTTTATATGCATAGGGATTTCAGGAAGGGCACAGCCAATGCAAATGGATAGTAGTTGGAACTAAGAAAATGTGAGAAGAAAGTCAAGAACAGCAAATGGAGAGTGTTCTTATGAGTTCATAATCCACACAGACACCTGCTCTGGTCAATCTCTCTACTGTCATTCATGTAGTCCTGAACATTAAGATAGACAAACTTTGGTCTGTTCTGCTTTGTAGACAACAATCCCAAGAAAGCACGAATAACACGAGTGCCCCAAAGATTCAACAGACATAAACAAAGATGATGACAGAAAGAGTATTAAAGAACTGACTAACCTTATCCAGGGCTCAATGTACACCCTACCAGTAAGAAAGGGAATCTGCTACACTATGTGCACATAGTAGTAGCAGGAAAGTGACACAAAATAACCTAACTGTAAGAAATGCTCATCCTACCCAAATGCCTGAGCAAAGCAACAAAGACCTCAGAAATTTGTATTACCTTAAAGCCAGCTTGTTTAAGAAATTGGCCAAGCTTACTCGTAATTTCCTGAAATCTTTCCTGTTGCCAATTGACCTAAAATAGAAAACAGATTATGATAATAAAATTGTAGAGTCTTAACCATGACTCAAACATACAGCTGCATGTCATCAACTCTGAAGTACCAGTAGGTGTTCTTCACACACAGTGCCCAATGAATTTATAAATACGAAATTTCCAGTCAGATTCATAGTTGAATATGTAAGAGCACACACATTAAAAATAACTGATAGCAAACAACACACCACTTAACTTGCAAGCCCCTTTAGTTTGACTTGTCCTTGAACAGAACTTTTTTTTTTATTTTTTTTTAAAAATGTTTACACAAAATTCAGATTCGGCAAGAATATATCAACAGGCATGTGCAGGTCAACCAGGGGATCAGGCCCAGCCAGCATGGGTTCATGAAAGGCAGGTCCTGCTTGACCAATCTGATCACCTTCTATGACCTGGTGACCTGCCTGGTGGATGAAGGAAAGGCTGTGGATGTCATCTACCTGGACTTCAGCAAAGCCTTTGACACCATCGCCCACAGCATTTTCCTTAGGAAGCTGGCCGCTCATGGCTTGGACAGGCATACTCTTCGCTGGGTAAAAAACTGGCTGGGTAGCTGAGCCCAGAGAGTTGTGGTGAATTAAGTTGTGTGAGTTAAGTCCAGCTGGGGACCGGTCACAAGTGGTGTTCCCCAGGGCTGTTTTGCGGCCACTCTTGTTTAACATCTTATCAATGATCTGGATGAGGGGATTGAGTGCAACCTCAG